TCATTGTCGAACTGACTGGCCCTAGGTATTCCCAATTGGAGTATTTTCCTTGTCTGCGTCTAGTGGAGTTTGAACTCAGGGGTGTACCAACTGAGCTAGGCCAGTTGGTAACTCGTAGTTTTCTCTTTATTCCTTTGATTTTCGAAATCACCGATCCAGTTCCCAGCTATCTTATTCTGAACTCTGGTTGATATGCAGGCTGGTGGCCGCTAGCAATTTTGCAACTGGATGAACTCATGGTTCTGAAGGGGCAGCTCCCAACAGGAGTTGTATCCAACAGGATTTGAACTCTCAATCTGTTTGATGATAGTTATATGTGGGCACTGGGTAGGTTACATCCACAAGGCTGGTATCGTGTACCTTTTGTCGACCCCGACGAACGAATTTCCAACTCTACAGAGGTTTATGATGATGCCTAGCATTACTGGAAGTCCTCGGAGGTTCTTAACGTATGTATGCTGCCTTCTGTCATATGCTGCTTGTGAATGATGAGTCCCATCTGCTGCTTCTTATGCACAATCTGTGACCCAGGAAAGTTGATTTCAAATTATTCAATATGAAGATGAGGTATGAAATGGGGGTTAACTAACCCCCTCTTAACCATTTCTCTACCCTCCAGTACAGCTGAGCCGTTTGCGAAGATTTGCTGTTAATCAGAAAACAAGGTGGTCAGCCGTTTAAAGGGCTTGTATGGACAAGTGGGATCAGTTGTGCACAACCATCCACTTGAATTTGTGGTGTTGATTTGGAATTGCTTATGAAGTACGATGGAAGAGAGGCAAAGTGAAGGATGTAATTCCTTTGTGGGGGGAGAGCCAACAATAAGACCTAATTGGTCAAGGCTCTACTAACATTGTCCTTGATTCTTGAGAGCCGTCCCGAAAGTCAGCTCCAGTTTCGCAAACACAGTCTTTTCTTCGTTTCCTTCAGCATTTTAACCTCTAGGAAGTTTAGCTCCATGACTTGTCTTTTATCTTCGTGTCAGAAGAAGTCGTGTTGGTCCTGGATCCATTCTGTTCTGGGATCATCAATTTGGTTCCTCTTCCACAGGTCCTTGTGTCCCAGATCAATCCTATTCCGGGATCGTCAATCCGATTCCTCTTGCACAGGCAAGTCATAATATAATAGACCAACCCATGTCCTCCCTTTTGTTACGGCTGGGGGAATACACTAACAGCGTTAATTGTTCCTTGTGAAGGAGGCTTAACTGGCAGGTAAACCTTTTGCCTTTTTGAGTTTCATTTAGCCCTATATCCTTGGGACCACTCTGACAGAATGGCCAGCAAAGCTCTCCTGTTATCCAACACTCTTCCCTCTTCAGTCTTCGTATCTTGCTATCTGATCCTGATCTGCCTAAATTGGCATGCTATCCATTGCTTTGTCCATCGCATTTGGTATTCCACTCTTCCCTCGCCTTGTCCCAAGTTGTGCTGATTGGTCCGTTTTAGGCGGTTTGTTCGCAGAGTGGCTACACTCCGGTCCAATAGCTACTGCTTTGAGAACTGGTCTTGAGCTTCGCCGCTTTGTCACACCACTCTTCGGACAGTGTCCGCACCCTTTTGCATGTGCATCGTATCTCTGGTTCCGCAATGTCCTTTGTTGTTGCCCAGGCTGCTTTCCATCGATAGCCTTGGAGCGCCTCTGTGTGCAGACAGCCCATAGGAGTAGCCTTCATGATGATACTGGACAATAGCCTCACCAGTTTTTGGAGGGAGGGGGGAGCGTTAGTCCATAGCAGCCGAGGGATGGGGTGTGTTAGGAGTGGAATGTAAAACGGTGGGTTCTGTAAGGCTTGAGCTTTCCCCCCGCAACCAATACAGTTGCGGAGCAGGTAATCATACAATGCACTAGCTCCTTGATTGTGCTTTTGGAGCACATTTGGAGTTTGTCAGGGCTTTTGGGGTCTGAGAGTTTCCTTCTTTCGTGTCATCATGCACTCACTGGGAGTGCAGTGTGGGAACCCCTATGAATCTTGGTCCTCCGAATTCTCACACTGAGGAACAATCCAAGATTCGGGGCAATCAGCAGGAAACCAAAGTTGTAATAATTCAATTGTGATGACGTTGAATGTCTGGAATCGTTGATCGCAACGAGTAGGATCCGCAGAGGCTATATGCCCAGCAACCACTCTCTCTCTCTGGTTGGAGACATAGTCCGATGCCATTAGGAAACTCGTGGTTGAATTGACCCGAGCTTATTTCCCCGCAGCAACCATGATTATAGCGGTGCCAACTGGAATCAATATATTTACTTGGATCGCAACTATGTGGGAAGGTTCAGAACAATTAAAAACACCAATGTTATTCGCTGCAGGATTCATCTTCTTGTTTACCATAGCAGGAAGCTTGTAAATCACGGTGGATGTAGTTTTTCGTATTCTTCCAAGGAAGGAATGCCGATGCTGTGCTCTAGGCTTGAGTTGAGAATTCTGTCCCAATGTTCTCTGATGACCGACCCAGGGTCTGCGCTTCCAACCTGAACTGGTATCGGAATTATGCTTGCTTACTGTTGGATCAATAATTCTTGAAGGCTTTTCGAAAAAAACTTAAAAAAATATGATTTGTCGGTGCAGAATCTGTATTTGTTGGCCAGGATATCTATTATTGTTTTACCGCAGCGGCGCAGCCACCCTATACCTATTATTTCAATTTATTTGTAATGCAGCCAGCCCCCTTCGCCTTTCACTGACAGGGCAGAGTTGTTAAACTGGAGCCAGGAATCCGCAGAGCGACCCTGGACATCAAGCGTGGCTGTGTTCAAGGCAATCCCCTGTGTCCCCATCATCTTCAACGATGAGAACCTGGTCATCAGTATGGCCAGGGGGTCTATATTAGGACACTGGTATTCCGGGTCGTCATTATGGCCAGGGGGTCTATATTAGAACCTGGTCATCATTATGACCAGTGCAATCAGACTCGCTCTCTTTCACACTTCACATGCATGTAAACAGGTAGCGCAGCAAACTGGCGACAAGCGCCCACTCAAAGCTCAGAGGTGTGGTAACCAAGAACACAGTTCAGATACAAGCTCACTTCCGATGGCTATGGCGCATCAGCGCCTGTACAACCCTTGGTTCGTCACTGTACTCAACTCCGCTGTTCGCACACACTCAACTCAAGATCACCCTGGATATCCCACACGCGATACACTGTACACACATGCACACACACGCTACACTCTTCTCCCAGCTATGGCGGCTATGGCCGCTACTACCTCTACCGCTATGGCTAAACTCTCCTTCGGCCCATTTCGTCTTCGGGCATACTGCAGACCACCTCGCACAAGTTGCTGTGGCAGCGCTTCCGCATGGCTTACGCAGGAATGAATGAATGGCTGGGCGCTGCCTCTTGATTTATACTTCTGTAACTCGTTGGCCTGCCCCTTTCCCATGCCCGTGGTGCACACAGTCCCATACGGTACCTGCTTGACTGGACTCGGACTGACTGGGACTGGGTACCACTGACTCAGCACGGGTGGACTCCACCACTTGCCCACTTGCTTCTGGCCTACTCTGAGCAACATGTGAAGGGCCACTTCCGGACCTTCCGGAAGTCTGTGGACTTGGCCCTTCGACACTGTAGCAGCTACGACCCTGACCCTTCAGGACTGTAGCAGCTACGACCTTGACCTTTCAGAAGCCGTACAGCTACGACTTCTAGGACCTACTAAGACCTACAAACAACAGGTCTACAGCTCGAACCCCTGCAACCTACGGACCTACGACAGCCTGCTAACTGCTGCGGATACACAGGTCACGGGTTCGACTATCGGGGTCGACACAGATACTGTACACAGGTAAGGTGAGGACTAGGGATCGAGCCCTGGGATCTGCATCCGCTACTGCGAACAGGTGAACACCGTTTCACCAGGGGTATATCACTCCGCCCCCAGCATCATTGCCTTACACAAAAGAGGGAGCATCGGGCATTGAGTACTCACTGACAGCTAAGTCTTTGGCAGCGATTAAATGCTCAGAGCAGAGCACAGAACTCTCTGAAATCCAAAGAAGTGAAATAGCACGACCCAGCAGCAGCACTCTCAGGGGAGGTCTGTTAATGGACACTGGTACTCCTGTTTTTACACTTTCCTGAATGCAACGCTGTTCACAAGAGTCAAAATCCAAAATTTAGGCATTCTCTGGAGGGCTGTCCAAATGAGAAGTGGTCTCCGCCTGGCATCCTGGCCTGTCTTTTTATTACTTTCCTGAATTTTTTGTTCGTTCATGCATTGAACAACCACTGCCTTTCCCGCTGTTGGGAAAACGGCAAAATATCCTACGCCTAAAATATCGAAGGCCAGGCCCGACGACGGCTGCTGTTGATAAATCTCATCAGCGGCCGTCGTTTTGTTTCGGCCTCCTAAAGATTCGGGGGGCCGACGGCGGCCCACATGGAAAAAGGTACTGGTTGTTTAAGATTTAGAGCTCAAGAACTCAACGTGGGGATGATGAAGCTGTTCAAATGGGTGTACGCGACTTCTCACTGGATGTTACACACGTTTTAGCATTCATAAAGTTAACTAAACAGTTCATGAGCTCGAATCCTGATGGAGAAAAAAGGCTGCTTGAATGGGTGTGGACTCTGTGGAGTACTGTGCAGTATGTACTGTGTGGTGGGTGAAGCTGCTGAATGCCACACAGAGTCAAGCCTGGTATGAAGACGGGATATGAAATGCACAATTCCTAAGAGAGAGAGAGAGAGAGAGAGAGAGAGAGAGAGAGAGAGAGAGAGAGAGAGAGAGAGAGAGAGAGAGAGAGAGAGAGAGAATCTAGGCTGTTTTTCCGGGCGCCGGGCACACAAGTTGTGCCCGGATACACACCTTGGTGCCTGGCCGGGCATGACCCCTGGGCAGGGTTCTGGACATCCCCAGCGCCAAAAAAAAAAAAAAAAATCAAAAAAATTCTGGAAAAACAATATGTTGTAAATAATTGCAATACAGGACCTCACATAAAAAAGAAAGTAACAGAATCACACTAAGGCACCCCCCTTTAAACCCCTTTAGAGTCTTTAGACCCTTTAAAGTTTAAAACCAATTTATACCGCCCTTCTTCCCCCTTTACAGCCAACTCTCAAGGAAAGAGAAGAGACCAGATTTGGGTCCTCTCTGCGAGGGCAGAAAACAAAAACAAAAAAACAAAATATCTTCTTTTTTTTTGCACGGCTGGGTACCCCGACTGTCACGCCCGGGTGCCCAGCCAGGCAGGCTTGGTTGGGCGTGGCAATCTTCAGAGAGATAGATAGAGAGAGAGAGAGAGAGAGAGAGAGAGAGAGAGAGAGAGAGAGAGCATTCCTATCTATGATATGCAAGGATTTCACGCTGTGTCAGTACCCGAGTTCTGGTCCCACAGTCCCAATTGGTCCCAGTCCCCTGGATCCCAGTTGGTCCCAGTCCCACAGGTCCTATTGGTCCGATAGAAGTCCGGTAGGGTCCGGTAACTAAAGAGTCGTAGGTCGTTAGTAGGCAGGCCTGGTACCCGACAAGAAAAGTCCAAGTCCCGAAGTCAAATTAGCCAGCAGCATCTTGGGAAAGTCCGGTAAGTTCCAGAACTCACAATTGCGGCCGACAGGCCGCTGAGACCTGGACTGGTACAGAGCCGACAGAATACATCGACTGATGCAGCTATTTATAGATGCTACAGTGCCATTTGACTTCACTTGTCAATTCATGTGTTGCGGAAGCTCTGCTTGACGTTTGTGCAACCAAGGGTTGGACTAAATCTGAGACGTTGATGAAGGAGACGGGTGCGATGGTGCCATAGCTGGGGTTGAGTAGAAAGAAGAAGACCGCCATAGCTGATAGGGTAGTTAGGATGAGAGAGGTTGCAAGTGCATTCAGGAAGTGAGAGTGAGGGATCCAAGGACAGAGGGAGAGAGTGTGCGAGTGAGGTTGAGCGTCTGAAGAATTGAGAGAGAGAGAGAGAGAGAGAGAGAGAGAGAGAGAGAGAGAGAGAGAGAGAGAGAGAGAGAGAGAGAGAGAGAGAGAGAGGGAGACTGACTCTACCTGCCAAGCCCCTGCCCTTCCAGATGGCTCCCTCACTCTACCTGCAAGAGTGGTCACTGCCTCTGCCCGACTCCCAGAGCTGCTGTGCAGCCTGCACCGGCCTCCTGGTTGAAGCACTGGCGCCAACAGAAAACTTTCAAACTTCGAACCGGCGAGCGAATCCCTCCTTTTTTGTGGTCAGATGCACTCGGCCACAGGTCCTTTTGTGGTGGATCTGCTGGTGATAGGAAGAAGTGGGGAGGGAGCCAGGGTGCCGTGGGTCCATGTGGGTCAGGTGACCCAGACCAAGGCCTGACCCGCCCAACACCCACCCAGGCTTATCCCAACACCAGCCCATTGGGTGACCCCGGCCAAAGCCTCATATACCCACCACCCAGCAATGCCAGCTGAACTAGACCCAGCCGTGACCCACCCAGGCCTGCTTCAGGTAGACCCAGACGTGACCCATCGCGTTGTGGGTCGGGTGGGTGCAGGTGGGTGTGGGTGTGGGCACCCATTTCTCACCTCTGCTGTATAATATCAATTGTTTTGAAGTGTTTCATCCCGACGTTTATGTGAATGTTCTGTGTTTTTCGGAGTGAGTTCAAGTGGCAATTTGGAGTTGAATTGGAGTTGGTTCCTTGGACAAACGACAATAAGAAGAAATAGCTCACCTATCGGGATCTGGACACAAAAATCTGAAGAACTCTTCCGAGTTAATCATTGCATATTGATTGTCTTACACTGCAAATAGAAGGCGTGGTCATACTACAGCTGATTTGGGGTGATTGTCATTCTATATACATTGATAATGAATGTGCGTTCTATTCAGGTGAAGATGGCAGCCACTTGTTGCAGTCTCTGGATCTCATGAGTTGGAGCAATGCCACGTGACTTTTTCACTGGGAAGGGGATGGTGAAAGGGAACCGGTTTCACTGCCCCGTTCATGCAATTTCTTTTTTAGGGTGTTTGCATGTCGTGCTTGGTTGATTGGTCTGAGGTGAGAATTTCTGTTTTCCTTTGGTGCAGTTGTTCACATTGGGAAGAATTATCTAGCTGACCAGATTGATGCAAGAGTGCCGTTGATCCTCGGTAAGCACCTTCAATTTCTGCCATCCCTCGCACTTTCCAATACCCATTTCAATGAACGAATGTTGTTCCATATTTCTCAAACTTTCTTCCAAGTAAAGATTCAAAAATGGGCATCTCTTCTTTCCCTGCACTTCTGTTAGGCTGAATTACAACTGGACCACCGGCGTGAATAAGTGACAAAAAGAAGAAAAAAGAATTGTCCCGAATGCTCCCTGCAGCCTTGCATGAATTCGACTTCCTGCACCTGACCTTCAATGCTTAATCGCCGCTGCTCCATTAGGGCCAGTTCCAAAGAAACCAACTGGGTTGCAGGTTGCCCTTGACCTCTGCCTGATGAAATTAGCTTCTTGTCCTTGTACCCTCTAGGGCCTCTACCTTGCACGGTCATGATTGGACATGCAACCGGAATATCTCTCTCTCTCTCTCTCTCTCTCTCTCTCTCTCTCTCTCTCTCTCTCTCTCTCTCTCTCTCTCTCTCTCTCTCTCTCTCTTGTTTGTTTGTCTCTGTGCGTGTGTGTCTCTCTCTCTCTCTCTCTCTCTCTCTCTCTCTCTCTCTCTCTCTCTCTCTCTCTCTCTCTCTCGTGTGTGTTTGTGTGTGTGTGTGTGTGTGCTCACAGCTCTCTCTCTCTCTCTCTCTCTCTCTCTCTCTCTCTCTCTCTAGAACACAAGTTGAGCCCGGATACACACCTTGGTGCCTGGCCGGGCATGACCCCTGGGCAGGGTTCTGGACATCCCCAGCGCCAAAAAAAAAAAAAAAATCAAAAAAATTCTGGAAAAACAATATGTTGTAAATAATTGCAATACAGGACCTCACATAAAAAAGAAAGTAACAGAATCNTACTCCTCCTACCTCTACTCGGTTCCCCACAGTCTTCCACGTATCCCAGTTTCCCTCCCAATTCGAAACCACGCGGGCGCCGGTACTGCAGCAACGTGCCCCGCCTTTTCCGTAGCAACGTGCCCGTTTTCCGGTACGTTGGCGCTCACAGCCACGCTCGATCGTAACGGACTGGAAATGCCACACCCTACCTGACTATCATACAGCCGCTATATGCGGGTCCTACCGGGCATACCTATTTGGGCTAATGAACCCCTGTGAATTTTAAGTTTGTCCCCCTACCTAAGACGAATTAAAGATACAGCACTGTCCCAATTTCATCATACTTCCTTCCAAAAAATAATTATATTACTACTAATCCGTAACCCGATTCCTCGTAATTTCTGTATTTTTCCCTGTAAGGGAGAAATTACCACTAATCCATAACTCGATTCCTCCTAATTCTGGCATTTTCCCCTGCAAAGGAAAGAAATATATATTACATCTGTTATGTGACAATATATTACATCTAATCCGTAATTCCGCAGGCCTGTCTTCGTACTTTATCCCAAGCTGCTACGCCTACATGCCTACCCCTTCCAACTTTACGTGTCGTCTCCCACAGCTTTATACCATGCTGTCGAGGAGCACTCTCCATGCCTCCTCGCCAGCGATGGTACCCCTGGCAAACTTTGCCAGGGAGGATCCGAAGAACAGCAAGAAAAAACAAAAAAAAAAACAAAAAAAAAAACAGGAAGCAAAAGATGAAAGGAAGAAGAACAAAGCCCCACAGCCCCGTGTTGCGCGCGAATCAAGATCAGCCACGTGTCAAAGCCCCGTAGGGGAGAAAGAAGATTTAGCTGTAGCCCTACAGCTGGAAGATGAAAGGAAGAAGAACAGGATGTGAAAGACGAGGAATGTAGGGTTAAGGACACTCACCTTGTTGTTCTTCAGTCTACTTAGAGGAACTTCCGCTAGAAAGAGAATCTCTCTCTCTCTCTCTCTCTCTCTCTCTCTCTCTCTCTCTCTCTCTCTCTCTCTCTCTCTCTCTCTCTCTCTCTCTCTCGTGTGTGTTTGTGTGTGTGTGTGTGTGCTCACATGCACGCTTTCTCTCTCCCCCTCCTTCGCCCTTTCCACTGGCACCCTTCAACGTGCAGCCTAACATATTTATAAGCAGCTCTTTTCGCACTGGCCAGTATTCCATTATGCCAGTCTTCATGATTTTTGCAGATTGAAGTTCACTGTACGATCTTCAAATGGTGCTGGCAATTGTTGTTCGTATTTGTTTTGCAGAGGTGGGTAATGCCTTGTCAAGAGTTGTCACTGGAAAGAAACATATCTAGGTGAGGTCAGAGGGGTGAGGCTGCGGCCAAGTTGTGAAGGCTCAGGAGTAGAAATTATTATATTTCAAAGAATTCTGTCTTGGGGCTAGCCAGAACTTGTCCGAAAAAAAATGTCCTTCCGGACATCTGTTAAAATTGGAGTGATACGAGAAGATCAGCAGGCCACCCTCCGCAAGGGTGACACAAACAAATTTAACAAGTTGAGAAATGGTCCAACTTTTAGAAAGGAAAGAACAAGTGGTCTGAGAGCACTAATGCTTTCATTCACGAGGCTCATTTAGGGGCAATACCCCATTGCAGTTTGCGAGATATACGATCTTCCCTGAATGCAATTCATGCCATACTCATGGTGGATATATTGTCCCTCAGCAGAGTCATTATTACGCCTATGAATTCTGTTTGGGAAAGACTGTAGCATGATCCTCCCATCCACATCAGACACAAGTACACAAGCGAGGCAGACAAATGTCTGGTCTGGTGCACAAGCGAGGCAGACAAATGTTTTGTCTGGTGAGTCACAATCCCTTTCCCGAGGAACCGGGTCCCGAACCTGGTCTCGTGACGGTCCTCTGTGCTCCACTCTTGTTTCTGACCTGCACAAACTGGTTCACGGCCCTTTCCTGTGGGTCATGATCCTGGAAACGAGGGTCCTTTGCGCTCCACTCGTGTTTCCGACTAGCACGAATTGGTTCACGGCACTCTCCAGTGCGTCATGACCCTGGAAATGAGGGTCCTGGGCACTGGACTGATGTTTCCGACCAGCAGAAACTGGTTCAAGGCGCTTTTCCAGTGGGGCCTGGCGCCGGAAGCGAGGCCCTCTGTGCTCCACTGGTGTACCCAACCAACAGAAACCGGTTCCAGGCCCTTTCCAGTGGGACCTGTTCGCTGAAGTCAGGGATCTCTTTGCTTTACTTCTATTCCTGACAGAACAAACAGGTTTCGGGTCCTTTCTGGTGGGGCCTTGTTCTGGGGGAAGGGCCCGTCTATGCTCCACTTGTATTTGACCAGCACGAACAGGTCTGGCCGGAGATCAGTTTGGTGAGTTGTTGATCATAATGAACCTACTACTAGGTCGGTTCGGTCACAGTCACTATGCAGTGGGCCCTGTCGGAAGAACAACGGTAAGCTATTTTCATTAGTAGGTACCTCCTGAACTGCGGCAAAAGTGTTGTTGTCTGTTGCCCGAGCCGGTCTGACAGGCATCTGTATTGTCCTGTCTGTATGCAGGCATCTGTCTGGCTGACATGTACTAAGTCTCGCCAGGTTCTGGTTCGTGCTTCGTCTAGACTCGTATGTTGTGTCAGTCTCTGGGTGAAAAGTGGTCGCAGATCTAGATCGGAATATCTGGAGCAGTGGAAGGCGGTGGCAATCCCGGCTGTCAGTACGTAGTTGGTTGCTGTTGGCCAGGGTTCACATTCTTGAGATTTTGGCAAGGCAAAAACAGCGGATTTGTTCAATGATTGTTCATCTCCTGACTGGCAGGAATGCTGTCGATCATTGCAGTCACTGCAAAAGAGAGGCTGTTTTGCAGTCCATTTTCAGGATTCAAGTTCATTCAATGTCATGCCTGTTGGATCCCACCTGCACTTCATAAATCAACCACACATCTCGTCCTGTTCACAGAACAACTAGTGTTAAAAGAAAAAGTGACTGTTTTCAGAACAGTTCTTCCCACTTCTTAGCAATCTTTCAAAATTGCTTCTGCATCGAGATCGCGAGAAAACGATCATACACTAGGGGTGTTGAAGTTTTCTCAACTTTCAAAAACAGTGTGAAGACGGAGGAAATTTCCCGGAGAATTTGAGAATGTTATTCGATTCTTTGTTGATAGCATATATAGATGGGGCCTTGGCCCAGCGCCCATCGCTATGGACTAATGCTGAAGCGTCACAATGAGAAATCAATCGCGGCATCATTCATTCACGCGCTCAACCTTGCAGGAAACGTATGGTTGGCTGTCCTCCTCAGAACATCCAGCTGCCAGGGATACAACCGTGGAATCTGTTTCGCTCTCTATGGGACAAAGGAGAAGCAGAAACAAAAAAAAAAACAAACTGACCCTTAAAAGGGCCTTGAGTGCATATTCAAATGTTTGGGGGTTAAACCACCAATATGGTTCCCAGCCATTTTTCTCCGACACAGCTGCATGCAGAAAGCAACTTTCAGGGGTTGGCTGGCGGCACCAACCAAAAGGGGGCCTGTACTGGTTCCTTTTTCTTTGGCACGCAGGTCGTTGCGAGCCTCCATAAAAAGAGGCTTGGAAGTACTGGTGGTTTAAAGTATGAGCTGGAAAACTGGGAGTCCCTGTTAACCATGTGTGCTGCAGGTGGCTGAGAAAGAACATGAGAATTTCACTGAACCTTGATCTTGCACCCATTTCTGCACCTCAACATTCTGACACGTATGCGAGTATCGACACACACAACTAAACAACAGCCATGAAACACCAGCAGATAATCAAGCTGGCGACAGACTGGCTGTCAGGACTCCAAAGTGTGGAGCATGACGAAAATGGAGACAACTTCTGGCCTTCCTGTTGAAAATGTAGTCAACGCGGCAAAACCCGTGATTTTTGTGCTTCTCCTTTTTATATCTTTTACCTTTTCCAAGGAAGTAGCACCTACCATCTTCGGCCCAAAATAACGCTCGGGCATTATCTTCAACTTACCCTAGAGGCCAGATTTTGTTTTCTGCTCACTTGTTTATAAACATAATGCCCTTTCAAATATAAAGCACATGAGTTATACAACTTATACTCAAATAGAACGCCCAGGCGTTATATTAGAACGTGGAATTGAAGAATGCCTTACACTAATACACTGCAGTTTTGATCTACGTGT